ACATACTATATATATATATATATATATATATATATATATATATATATATATATGCGGTCTAGGCTGCGCGCATACTTCCCCAGAGACTACGCCGGGGTCGGGTCACCTTCTTATACTATGAGGACCTTGGGGAGAGACGTATGTAGGTGGCAGGATGCTGGTCTGGCTAAACAACCTTTTCTTTGCTGCATGTTGACGTACGCACAGCATGCATACACATGCTCAGCTCTGTTGACTCGACACATTCGCCCACTCGCCGCCGCACTAGCGGCGTTTCTCATATACTTATCCGCGTCTTGATATCGTATCAATCTCGTATTTGTCCGCGTGTATATACATGTACCGCCAAAAGCGCCGTGCGTGTGTGGGTGTGCGCGTGCGTGCGTGTGCGTGTGTACGTGAAGGTGGGTGAGTGAGTGCGTGCGTGCATGTGTGCGTGACGGTGGGTGAGTGAGTGCGTGCGTGCATGTGTGCGTGGAGGTGGGTGAGTGCGCGCGTGCGTGTGTACGCACATCTGTGCGTGCGTGCGTGCGCGCGTCTGTGCATGTCAGGAATTAGTCACGGTACCAAGTCGGAGTATTGTAACAGCTGAAAGATTTGGTAACTCTGTTTGCGAATACAGGTTCTACGACTAAAAGAACGCCTTCCTGCTAAGGAGAGCCAGAAATGTGTGAAATCAGACGGGCTGGCGTTTATCCCGGTGCAGTTTTACTGGTTAGCGGCACCATTGGCTAAGGATTTCGCTTTCTTGTCACCCAGCTGGGTGCACATGACCGGTCAGCCAGCTCTATGTTCGGATAGGCGCTTATAGAAACGCAGAAATCCGAGCATTTCTACAATTTGTGTAATTAACGCTGGGCACGTGAGACAGGTGTTCAATATTGACACGGCGCAGCCAATCACGAACGCCGGCGTCGCTGATTGGTCGGATGACGTCACATCCTTTAGGATATAAATGGCAGCGCCATTCACGTGCTTATCAGAGCGAGCGTTTACTTCACATCAGTAGTGTCGTGCTATGCATCTACCATTCGTGTGACTTACTGCGTGCCTTGCGCACTTACTATCTGGATAGCTAAGAGTGAGATACTGTGTGCCTTGCCATCGGGTATCGAATCAGAACGATGCTTCCCAGTCAGAGAGACCAGTACCAGCAGACTGTATTCGGATCGCAGGTTGTAAAACAGGAGAGCGTCACCCCGTACACCGATGCGACGAAATGCAAGAAGTCTTCCAACCACATCAAGCGTCCGATGAACGCGTTCATGGTGTGGAGTCAGATCGAGCGGAGAAAGATCGTCGAGGTGCAGCCGGACATGCACAACGCCGAGATCAGTAAGCAACTCGGTAAGCGCTGGAAGTCCCTGATCGATTCGGAGAAGAGTCCGTTTGTAGAGGAGGCCGAACGGCTGCGCGTGCTTCACCAGCAGGAGTACCCCGACTACAAATACAGACCGCGCAAGAAGGCCAAGGGAACGCCAGCCAGCCAGGGCGCCGCCAAACATTCCGACGGCAAAGTTTGCAAGCCGAACAAATCAAAAAGTGATAAGAAGCAGCGTAAGTCCGCGGCGTCCGAGTATAACTCCGGTTTCCTGCACGGCGTCTCCAGTCCTACCTCCAGCATAAACACGAACAAACTCAAGTTGAAGCTCACCATCGACAAGAAGTTCAAGGAGAGCATCAAGGCGTCGCGCGTCATTCCGTTCTGCACGACGCAGCTGACGCCACCGGCGAAGGTTCCGTGCAGTCCCGGCCAGCACTCCCCGGCGACGCCGGACAGCACGTCCTTCTACGACGACATGTTCGACAGCCCGCGCAGCGCGACGCACTCGGACGGCGGCTCCGTGGACACCTACTCCGTCTCCAGCCGGTCGTCGGGCTACTGCAGCTCGGACGTGGGCTCGAACGACGGCACGGGCGATCTCACGGACATGTTGAACCTTCCGTCAAACTGGCAGGCCGAGTTTGCCAACATCGCGCTCACCGACTCCGAGTTCGAGCGCATCAAGGAGTCGCACTTCGAATTCCCGGACTACGATTACGCCGACGTGAACGACTTGGACTGGTTGGACCAGCTCGGCGAGGGCAACCTCACGTCACTGCTGTCCGCGTAAGAGCTTGCGTCGCGCAGGGGGCGCCGTCGTAGGACGGATCTCGGACGGCGCGTGTCCGAATCGAATCCGTCGTTTCTCCCAGGAGGAGGAAGGTAACGAGGGAGTAGGTAGTCCATCGATCTCGGGGTGAGTAAGATACCTAGAGCTGTCGGCCGGGGCTCACGACCGCTCGCCGCCGCCAGCGAAAGTCGCAGCGCGGCACGAGATTTTCGAAACGAGAGGGAAAGTGGCGGCGTAGTGACCTCGAAACGTGCAGCGCTTAGTTGCATGGCACGTCTGCCCCCACGCCGTATGACTGTACGTGTAGAGTGGGCGGCGGAGGAGAGCCCACCAGTGTGTCATCCCATTCACTAACGATCAGCGCTGCTAAGATGAGACGATCGGGATGCGTGGGGCGATAGATCGACGAACAAACCGAGGAATGACTCGAGACGAGGAGCGTAGAGTTATTTCTATGTACATATTGTGGCCTAAACTTCTCATACGATGTGTAATATTTATTTATTTGGTCGAGACGAGATGGGTTTAGGAGGCGTGGTGCGGTCGCGAGACGACATGGCGGGCCTGGGTTGTGAAAAATGCAGTTTATATAGTGCACGTCTCGACCCAGATCTTTTGTGTATGGTTTTTCATTTGTACACGTGTACAAGTATGTACACTTGGTAGCGCGAGCGAGCTCTCGTTTTCTATGTTTGGAACTTTCTAAAAACGAAAAAAAAAACTTAGGGAAATAGTAATGAAGAAGAAGAGTGAATCCATTTGGTAATATTGTGTATTTAGATTTGGACCTTCGCACTGTTTTCGAGGTTGTACTACCCCTTCTTCTCTTTCCCAGAGATCTAGAACTTGTATCAAATCCCATTTCTGATGCGTTCTACCAGGATCAACCAGTATTTTCTCGACGCGGCTGTACTCAGCTGCCAGTCGACGTGTACATACTTGTGAGACTGGCCTTCAGCACTTGAGACTGTAGCACGGGCACGCGTGTACATGTGCGATGTGTGTGCGCACACATATGTGTATATGTACGTGTACACGTACATACATGTATATGTGGGCACACATACGTGTATATGTACGTGTAGTCGTGTACACGCACGTACATGTATGTGTGGGCACATACGCGTGTATGTATGTACATGTACACGCACGTACATGTATGTGTGGGCACATACGCGTGTATGTACATGTACACGCACGTACACGCGTACATGTATGTGTCGGCACATACGCGTATATGTACATGTACACGCACGTACACGCGTACATGTACGTGTGCGCGCGTGTGACAGCCACCGTTGTTCATACTGTATCGCGTTTATCAGGGACCACAGGCATTGTTCAGACACGCCTTTACCGAAAGCCTCTCAGCTGTTTCTCCCTCGCTCAGTTGCGCGATGAACTTTGTTCCTCTTATCAACCTGTTAATAATGTAAATGTAAACTTCCTTTGTAGATATGGCAGAAACTCAGATGATATATTTTAGACGAGAGAAGACCTTTCAAAATATTAGAGACTTAATATGACGAGTTTTGTACGTTGTTGTATTGGTGACGTGTTAGATTGGGCACGAGTTTTGTAAATTGTACAGCAGCTGCACACAGATATATATATATGTATATATATATATCTATATATATAGTGATAAAACTTTGCACTACGCCCAACACTGTAGGCGTGTGTGTTCGTACTTCATTTCTATAAGGTGTTTTGCAGTCATTTTTGATCAAATTTGTATTAATTTTTGTACTAGATTCTTTGCAAATTGCATATCTGAATTGTACGTGTGTATTGACCGCTCGAAGGCAGGATGGAACGATGTTAGAGTTAGTTCATATACATAGAGTACATACCCAGGGGTGAATTCTACTTTCAAAGTCTGTTTTTCTGCACCTCGGCGTCAAGTGTTGGTGTTTCCATCTTTTGAATAACGCCCCAACAATCAAGCGTGTGTATGTATGTATTTATCCTGCATCACATGGCAATATTAATGCGTTGCAGAATCGCGTTTGTAGCGGTATCTAGCCAGACTCGATTCCGTGTAACCCATGTGTTTTTGTGTATAAGTTTGGACATCGTATATAATGTTGTAGATAAAGATTCGAGTATATTTTGCATCAGAATATCACGCATTTTGTGTTCCTTTATCTCGTTGTCCGTACAAACGACATATTGAAACATATCACGATACCGACATTGGTGGTAACAATATATATATATATATTACGACACTAGATCGCCTAGCTATCTAAACGGCTTCTGTCCCACTATCGAGTCATCTGCTGAATTTCACATCGATAGCTACACATGACGACCCAGACGATCTTGATTTTTTTCCCGTATATACTTAATCTTTTTTACGATGAGAGAGATCGCTCGCCCGTAATATGAGCGTCGAGTTGACTTGGCTCAGCGAGAGACCGGCTTGTCCACACACGTGCACACACACACGCACACACTCACGCACACGCACACGCACACGCACACGCACACACACACACACACACACACATACACGCACACACACAAACACACAGTGACACACACACACAGACCAGCTTGTTCACACACACGTGCATGCACGCACACGTACATATACCGGTTACTGCAGGCTGTGCGTGCTGTACATGTGCAATGCACTCGCGTGCAGGCAGCTCGGCACTGACCTACAACTGACAGCCAACCGTGCAACACACATGCACGACAGACCCGCCGCTGAGATACATAACGAGACGAGGAGATGGTCCGAGGCTCACAGGCGATAGAATTTCCCACCTGAAGCTGCTGCTGCTGATGATGATGCTGATGGTGATGATGATCACCGTCGCCCACCTACCAGCATCAGCGCTGTGTACGGCCGCCCACACAAGATCCAACCCTATGCTTATCTATCGAGTGGGCGCATGCATCCGTCTAAGGTAGGCGCATCTATCTATCCACACATCTCCTTACTGTCATAAATATATATATATAGTATATATATTATATATATATATATATTATATATATATTATCAGGGCGCGGGAAACACGATGAGGGCTATCGGATAACGAGGCCAGCAGAGGTTGATAGCGCGTAGTCAGGTGATGTCATGCGTGGATCGATGGATGGTGCATGCCGTCAGTACATACAAACATACATACGTACGTGGGTTGCACCCGGGTTTCCAGGAAGAAGCGTGCGTTTACGCATGTTCGTCTGTGATTATTATCGTCTAGTAGTAGTATGTTGAACGCACGAGATAATGAGCGAGCGCGTTCGTGAGATCAAGAAACGTGGAGGGTTGTGGGTTCTCAGATAATAGATCCGATAAACATTTTTTAATGGATTCAGTTATTATCATAAATTCTATTTAGAACGCTCGCCAACTCCGCCTGTTCTGCTCTCGTGAGCGCGCGTAAAGTATGGGTTTGCGTGGCTCTTATACGGCTAGGTTGTTTATTCAGCGTTGTTCAATATAGCACACTCGGTAGGCTCTGCTGTATATCCGTACCACCACTTTCCTTATGTAAAGTGTTAAGTATATATATATATATATAATGATATTTATAGTATATATAATATATATATACTATATTATACGTTGAGCGTGTGGTGCACTTTTTTGAATCGCCGTTGCCGCGATAGTCATATCAATGCAGGTCACTTATCTAGCTGCCTTCATTATATCTACATAAATTACTCTCTAATATGTATATATCATATATGTCCATATCGTGTCGTCTTATTTAGCCATGATATCTAATGAGTAGATATAGAGCACTTCTGTCTCTCCTCTGACTTATTCTACTCTCTTGACTGTCTATCTTGTCTCCTCTATGCGCCCATGTGAGCTTTAAAATAGCAGTAATTTCTTTAACGTCATCTGAATGACTAAATTGATGGACCGAAAACACTCAAGAACATACATCACGAACCATGTCACGCAGTGGTTGTAAATACCGTTTTTGTCACTTTCTTTATTGATTTCGCGCACTAAACGCATACGTTATAAATCTATCTTTATAGATAAGCCCGACATATTTCAATACGCTACAGTACTAGGCTATGTAATAGCATGGGCGCAGCCCTATTCGCGTTCGTCCAGATAGCTGGTATATTCCGACACGTTACATCATGGCAGAACACAGTACATCATTTAATCGAATCCTCGCTTAACGTGATGAATATGATTAGATTACATACATGAAACGTCTTTACACGGCGTACAAACCGCGCTTGGATTATATATATATAGTATAGTATTATATGCTTATATGTGTGTATATATATATATATATATAAGCAGGTCGGAATTGCCACTGAAGTGTTTGTGATCGTCTCGTATCAAATCAATTTCTCGCTGAGTCGGCCGATGAGTATTCGGCGGATGTGACGTCGTCGCCCGTCGTGACGTCAGCGTTGATGACTCGGTCCTCGTACGGGCATCATCATCATCATTCCCGGCTGCACTCCCGGCATCATCATCCCAGGTGGAGCCATGCGGCCTCCTCCGGGAGCACCTCCCATGAAGCCTGGATGCGGTCCGCCGGGATAGGCACCCATCATGGGCGGCCTCGGCGGCATCGCTCCTCCTAGTCCGTGCGGCGGCGGAATCATCGCCCCGCCTCCCCCACCTCCGCCTCCTCCTGCGCCGCCTCCTCCCCCGGGGTACGAGTGGTCGCGTCCGGCCTTGAATGCCTTGGTCGTCGCGTCGATGAGGCTTTGCGCCTGCTCCTCCATCCAGTTCTGGTAGTAGTCGCGCACGTTGTCCTTGTGCTTGCGTCCGCTGCAGTGCGTCTTGCGCACGGACGGCGAGTCGTGCGTCAGATACGTGTCGCAGTAGTCACAGTAGTACTTCGGCATTCTAGCTGAGCGAGCGAGAGAAAGTGAGAGTGAGAGCGCAGGCGGGAGATGGTTTGGTGCTGGTAGTGGTGGCAGCAGGCGGGAGCGAGTGAGAGCGAGGCTGTGCGCGTGCAAGCTACGTAAGGCGGCACCGCCACGGATCGCTGCCCGCGTGGCCACGATGTTCCACCAGACGGCGCGGCGGTCGCCAGCGCGGGCCATGCATGCGCTCGGCAGAGGGGGGGGGGGAGCGTTTAGCCCTTGACCAGTACAAACTGGCTTCTAGTTACGATATGGGAAGTTATACACACGAACACACTGAACTCTAGAGAACATTGACGTGGTCGTACGCAGTGAATGGAGGGAGGAAGGGGGCAACCGGAGGCGAGGGGGGGGGGTCGTGCGTATTAGGGTATCGTTGAGATCAGGACCTCCCCCTCCCCCCGAAACTGGTCTGCTGTGATCGGCACGTCGTCGCCGAAACAAAACAAGCTTTATGCCGGACACTTGACGCTTCGCTGCTAAGTTTACGCGGGCTTTCTTAGTGCTGCTATGCTGCACCAGTGTATTACCCCGGGACCAGTTTCCCTGCTTTGCCCTGGCGTGTTTGCGCAGGTTCTCTCGTTGCTTGCGTGTGTTTACTGGTATTAGCTCGAGCCGAGTCCGGTGCTGGAGGGAGGAGGAACGCTGGGGCTATTCAGTGCATATGCAGAGCTTTGCGGCCCGAAATGGAGCAAAACAATTAGTTGCTGAGCTTGACTGGACACCCAAGCAGCAATTTGGAGCTGATCTTGGACAGGCGTGTATGGGGGGGTGGGGGCGACGCCGATGTCCGCGGGGCATGTATCGGTTACGCAGCGCGCACACACACGCACCCACTCACACACACACACACACACACACACACACACACACACACACACACACACACACACACACACACACACACACACACACACGCGCGCGCACACACACACACACNATATATATATATATATATATATATTATCAGGCGCGTAAACACGATGAGGGGCTATCGGATAACGAGGCCAGCAGAGGTTGAAGGCGTAGTCAGGTGATGTATGCGTGGATCGATGGATGGTGCATGCGTACGTACATACAAACATACATACGTACGTGGGTTGCACCCGGGTTTCCAGGAATGACGCGTGCGTTTACGCATGTTCGTCTGCGATTATTATCGTCTAGTAGTAGTATGTTGACCGCACGAGATATGAGCGAGCGCGTTCGTGAGATCAGAGAACGTGGAGGTTGTGGGTTCTCAGATATATAGATCCGATAAACATTTTTTATGGTTCAGTTTACAAATTATTTAGAACGCACGCACTCACGCCTGTCCTGCTCGTGAGCGCGCGTAAATGTATGGTTGCGTGGCTCTATACGGCTAGGTTGCTTATTCAGGTGTTAATAACCACACTCGTAGCTCTGCTGTATATCCGTACCACCACTTTCCTTATGTAAAGTGTATAATATATATATATATATATATATATATATATATATATATATATATTATACGTTGAGGTGGTTGCACTTTTTTAATGCCGTTGCCCGCGATGTCATCAATCAGTCACTTATCTAGCTGCCTTCATATATCTACATAAATCTCTCTCTATATATATATCATATATGTCCATATCGTGTCGTCTATATATAGCCATGTATATCAAGAGTAGATAATAGAGACTCTTCTCTCTCTATTATCTACTCTTGATGTATATCTGTCTCCCTATGCCGCCAGTGAGCTTAGCAGTAATTTCTTTTAACGTCTGAAGATAAATATGGACCGAAAACACTCAAAACATACATCACGAACAGTCACGCAGTGTTGTAAATACGTTTTTTCATTTCTTTATTGATTTCGCACTAAACGATACGTTATAAACTATCTTTATAGATAACCGACATATTCAAACGTACAGTACAGTAGTGTATTAGCAGGGCGCAGCCCTTCGCGTTGGTCCAGATAGCTGGATACTCGACACGTTACATCATGGCAGAAACAGTACATCATTTAATCCGAATGCCTCGCATACACGTGATGATATAGTTAGATACTACATGAAACGTTACACGCGTACAAACGCGCTTGGATATATATATATATATATATGCTTATATGTGTATATATATATATATATATAT